AATGAAAAAGAATCATGATAAGATTATAAATCTTATAATATTATATATATATATATAATATTATTTGCCACATCGCCCACCCCAAACTGCAAATAATCCTCACCCGAAAACAGCCGTGAGATCATCCCAGTTGACATCCGTAACATCCTCCACTTGCATTTGATACATTCTGTGTGAATACATGACATAGAAGCCATATAGAATAAAACATGTCAGGATAACAAAAGCTAAGTAAGCATGCAAAAACAAGATCTCTCACGCTTTAATGAGTCTGATTTTGGCCTCCTGAGATTTCCTTCCTCTACAAGTCCCTGAAGACATCTGCACAGCGAGGATGGACATCCTTAGGGGTGAAGGAGAAAATTCAGGGACAATGTTGAATAAAAAAAAAAAAGAGAGAATCACTAAAAATGTATCACCATTTAATATAAAAGAGTTTTCAATGACTCTCACCATTTCTCTCTGCATTTGCTCCAACATCGAGTTTTAACCTTCAGAGAAATATTGAACCAGGGCAATTTTCGGTACAGTATTTCTCTGCTGACTCTTTTTGGTGTTGTTTTATTAGGGGACTCCGATTTCAGCACAGTTACAATATGGCCTCGCACAGCCCTCAAAAGTCTCTGCACCTCTTTTGCGGACCACGGCCCACTTTTTTTAGCTGTGTGATGCAAATTGATGAGATACAAAATGACCAACCATCACTAAACCTGGAATTTACAATTTTGGAAATTTTGAAAAGAAGCTTGCTGAATTAGACTTGCCGGTATTAAGCTGGGTAAAACGTTTCTCAAGAGAGTAAGAACTTCGACCAGTCATCTCAGAAATCTTTTGCCAGTTATTGCCATGTAGTGTATGATACTTAAGCAATGATTTGACTTCTTCTTCTGTAAACCTTTTGAGAAAAGGGAGCACTGAGGTTTATTAAAGCACAAAAATAAAAAGCAGAGCAGATCAATTTTCTAAGACCAAATACCTTGTAAAACTGTCATTTACCTTCCCTTATAGTTTCCACCATCAAAAACTTTCCTTCCACGGCCAAAAACATTATGGCAAGGCCTGGGAATTCCTTCCGCTTTTCAAATTTGATTTGAAAAAAGACGACAACAGATTAAGCAACAAAAATTGTGCATTTTCAGTATAGCTTATTACAATGTTCAAGATGTGTTCAAGAAGTCTTTATACTCCATTAACCCGAAAATGAAAATACTCTCATGATTTTCTCACCCTCATGCCAACCCAGACGTACATAAGAAAAAAAGACTATGAGAGTGAGTAAATGATGAGAGAATTTTCATTTTTGGGTGGACTATTCCTACAATTAACATGTGTAAAAAGGCATATCTGGGATGCAGGACTAGCATGCCTCGTATTGTGCCTCTGTACAAAAACAAAAAAGTTTAAATCGTGCAGAACGATGATGACCTTAAACCTTTCAATAACAAAATCAACAAATGAAGTAAAACCAATGTGATTGTTGTGACTCACCTATCCTTTCAAAAAACTTGTAGACCTTTTTCAGCTTTGTCAATTCCTGTGTCTCTTCTGGGAAACGCTTTGGATGAAAGAGCTTGATAGCATCTTTCACTCCTGTGAGAGCAAGAAAATCTCTAACGTTCCGTCTTAACCTCTCATTTTCTGCGTTAGAGTATCTTCCATGCCTCAACACGATGCCTGTGGACATCAGTGTGAAGAGTGAAAGGCAAAAAATATTCATTTTGTATGGGCACTTTACATTTATAACATTAATCTTTGTGTATAAATAAATTATATACGCTGATCTGAATAATAATAATAAAAGTATAAGATAAAAAAAAATAGCAGATATAAACAGCCTACCTTGCTTTCTGAATTCCTTGAATCTTGGCAGATCATACATGATCATTTTATTGATATCATGTGAGCTTCTGGACTCAATTTCAGGACAAAATTCTTTCAGTTCATTCAAGAGATTGGGGTCAACTTCTGGTTCATCCAACAGAGCTCCCTTTCTTTTGCGCTTTCTAGTACCGATTAGTACAGCAGGTAAGCCACTTTCCTGATCTTTCTTCTTGTGTTGGACTTCCTCATGTTCTGTCATCAGGACAGGCTGTTCTCCTTGTGTCATGTCATCACAGTCTGCCTGTGTCACATCTGCTCTCTTTTTCTTTTTCTTAGCAGGCTTCTGTTCCCTTGAACCCTGCGGCTCTTGTGCCTCTGCGGTCTTGTCTTTTACTTTATGCAGGCTTGTGACAACCTCCACACCTTCATTCAGTTTTCTTTTTTTCTTTTTGTCTGTAGGTGTCTGCAGACTTATATTCTCCAATTCCTTGTTCTTCTTCTTCTTCTTCTTATGCACCTTTTCACGTTGCTTCTCAGTCTGCACCTTTGGACTTTGAGTGAGTTCACGCTGCTCTGGAGTTTCACTTTTCTTTCTCTTCTTCTTCGCCTTTTCTCTATTAACGCGGCCCATTGTGTCATTACGCGAATCTGACTGCATTTCATCCAACATTCTTTAAAAAGCAAAAATCATGACGAGAAAAAAAAACACAGCACAACGTGTCTTTCACCAACAAACACGAAATCCAACTTGAGTCGTGATAGTCTTGCGCGCGTGTCGTTAGAATATCACGTCATCCTCGCATATTGTGATTTCTAAATCACATTAAAAGAATTAAGACGGGAAGAAATTGAAATTTTATTTAGCAATATATATGTAACGTACACAGCTATGTTTTCTATACCTGGGGAACTTTTACCGAGTTGTTTTCCACGCGGGTTTTTCCTATTCTTCTTCTTCTTCTTCGGTGTTTATTGGCGGTTGGCAAACCAACTTGTAGGTGCATTACCGCCACCGACTGGACTGGAGTGTGTTTATGGGATTGACATAATGAGAGGGGGGGGGGAAGAGCCATTAATCATATTATTAATAATAAAATAAATAACTAAAAAAAAGAAATTTTAATAATAATAATAAAAAAAACAAAAAACGATCTTCTTCTTCTAGTAACGTTTTATGGCGGATGGCAAACCAACTTCTGGTGCATTTACCGCCACCAACTGGACTGGAGTGTGAAGCACTAATAAGCAACTAATATATACATATTTATATAAAAAATATATATATTCCTAATTTCTCCTGATTAATCCTATTTCTTTAATGTATTTAACAATAGCACCATATATTTTACCTTGTTCTGCATGCTCTTTCAAAAGGCTTGACAAATTAAATGATTCAACAGCCATGTTTCTTACTTCCTTAATTAGTTTTAACCTTTCTTTTCCATATTTTTTTACATTTTATTAAAACATGCTCTATTGTTTCTGCCTGATTACAAAAAATACATTGACCTGTTTCATGTTTTCCTATATTAAACAGAGAGTGATTTAATCTAGTATGCCCTATTCGGATGCGAGAAATAATTGTATCTTCTTTCCTATTCCTAAAAACACTTCTTCCATTTCCTACTTGCTGCTGAATATTATACATTTGTCTGCCCTTGCTATCACAGTTCCATACTTCTTGCCATTTTTTGTTTATGAATTCTTTAATTTTCCCTTTAACCTCATTTTTGCTAAGAGTCACTTGAATATCTATTTCTGAGTGTTTAAGAGCTTGCTTAGCAAGCTTATCAACCACTTCATTAGCCTCTATTTAAGCTGTTATTAAGCTTACATTACTTATTCTTAACAAACTTGCAAGAATCTCATATATAATGTCTTGCCTTGATGATTTGACTCCACTGGCAAGGCTCAGTATTGCTGCATAAGAGTCAGAACATATTACTACTAATCTTGGTTTTACTTCCTCTACCCACTGAAGTGCTACCACCATGGCAATTAATTCTACACATGATCAGTTATTATTTTCTTAATACTATTTTGAAACTTTGGAATAAATTATTCTACTTCTTCATCACCAATAACAAGCTCAACTTTCAGTTACACAACAACCATAGTTCCACCTGTCAGACAGGAGAATCATTACAAACATATTACAAATACATTAGCGCACATAAGCAGAGAAGCACAGTGTTCTTACTATATATATCTATATATTATCTAGTATCGTACTATTCTTACTATATCTGCCAATACAACAGAAGAAGATAGTATGATCATATGTTATTCCAAATTCAGCCAGTATCTGCTTCTAGCTCAAAGTTGCTGCTGTGTGTGTAACATTTTGTCGGTTTAAAGTAAACCTATGGTTTAAACAGGAACTCACTATAAAACTGCCATTAATAATTTATAACACATATGCGTAGATAATAAATTAAAAACAAGCACTCGGTGCTAATAAAACAACAGTTGTTATAAACAATTTCCCCCACTCACTAGGCTATAGAATAACTGTGACATTATTATAAAGGCAAACTATGTTTTATGTTTTCATAATAATAGTATAACATATTATACCAATAAGACTATTTAACTTGTCATGATTTTATTAGTTGTCTGAGTTGCAACACAATGTTTTTGGAGCTAATTCATTTTAAACTAACTCAAAAAGTGCAATTAACTTTAAATGCAACACTTTGGTTTTACCTTTTTAAACAGCAGTTAATTGTATCGAGTTGTTTTGTTGTTTGTGCACTGAAAACTAAAATGCAAAAGAAACTGAAGCAAAAGATAGGTACACAAAAATGAAAACAAATAAAGAAAACAAAATTAAAATGAACTGAATAAATATTCAGGGAAGTTTTCTTGTTCTTTACACACTCCAATGTTTTTCTCTCATCTCAGTATATTGATATATGAAGGTTTTTCCCTTTTGACCACCAACATTTGTTAATGTAATATTTAAGTAGCCTAATATTTATTTAGAATAATAAAGTTTTTCGTCGTAAAAGAGTAAAACATACTTTTTTTTTTTTAAACAACCCCATCTTATATCAGCGTAATGAACACTGCCATCCCTAACTTCGTGAATAATAAATGGTCCTTTGACAAGATGTGATTGGAGTCTGTGATGTGATGCTGCCGCCCTCTGTACTGGAGCGGCAGGCAGCAAAACAACCCTGATTCTCCAAAAGGAAGTAACTACGGTAGAGCTTCGTGTTCAAAATACTGTCAACGGATCAACAACAAAAACAAGCAGCGCGATCTGCTGACCTTTGTCATTGGTAAGCGTATCAAACTACTCGAGTAAAATGCCACACATGCATTGCGCCTTTTATTTATTGTGCCTGTAGATGACGAGACGGGCGATGCGTTATAAATAGTCATTTGAGTCAAAAAAAAATTTTTCCAAACATCCAGCATCGTAAATATTCTCTCCTTTTGTCATCGTGTGACATTTGCCTTTTAGCTGCAGGTCGCATTTATACACATGCTTTCTTTCGTTTAAAACGTTGAACTACGTTTCGGTGCAGCCTAATGTTGTTTTTGTGATAAATAAATAAATAAATAAAATCTACCCGCTTATTGGCTGCTGTCGTCACCTTTGCGTCTGCCTGTACTTTAGTGTAGTTACATTACGCCTGTTTGACTATATTTAGCTCATCATGAAGTCATACAGTGAGTTTAAAAGGATACGTACGGTATTATCCGTTATTGTTTAAAAACACTAAAACTCATGAAACTCTAAAACAGAAATACTGTGCGTGTAAATACTGGAAAAGCAGAGCTGCAGAATCTGGTCGAACAGCGCAAATCCAAAACAAACGCGTTGTCATGGCAGCCGTGCATTTGAAATTCAACAACTTGTCTGTGCGCAACGCGCAGCTGTTGACTTGAAATGAACGGCTGACTCCTGACCGGAGGCTTATTTTAGGACTAGTCGAGTCACGTTAACTGCTTTCACGGCAGGAGCACAGCAGATCGACAATTTTATCTTGAAACATTTTATGTGAAACAGCTGTTGTTTTGGGAGATGTAACGTTAATAATCGATTTCATTAGGGTTTTTGATATTCACACTTTTCTGTCAGTGATTGGTTCTTCAATATTAGGTCTAGCGATTATGCAGAAATAACTAACTAACAGAGCTGGGTACATGATTACATGTAATCTGTAACTGATTACATGTAATCTGGATTACTGGATTAGAATAAATTACATTTTAAAATAGCCTACTCGTAATCAGACTACAGTTACTTTTTTATTGATTACATGATTACATATTATTCACACAATGGCAATAAATTACTCATAATTTATTGATTCTCCCTAATTCCTCTTTTTCATCTTTTAAATAGCCTACCTTATAGCGCTTATATTCATTCAGAAAGTCTTACAGTTTTGTGGACATTCACACCAAGACTAGTCAGGTGGCTACACAGCATTTGACCACTGGATTAACAAAAATCATTTCAGGTTTAAGAAGTGCTTCAACATTCCATCAACTATTAATGAACATAACGTATTACTATGTCTTTGCAAGGCTTTTGTCTTTCAAACACATTAAACTGCACAAATTCATGTTATTTCTTATTTACACGTAATGCAGGCATTCCCAAATTTTTTGGTCATCTGAACCTCTTTCACCTAATTTATTTACTTGAAGTCCCCCTGATGATTAATAATAAATGATTTTAATTAATAATAATTAATTTTAATAATTAAGTATC